TCTCACTATGTTGCCCAGGTTGGTCTCTAACTCCTGGGCTCAAGCAGTCATCCTGCCTTGGCCTCCCAAAGTGCTGGAATTGCAGGTATGAGCCACCACACCTAGGCCCTTTTTTTTTTTTTTTTTTTTTTTTTTTTTTGCTCACAGCCTTCCTTCTGGCTTCTACTGCTGCTTGTTGGCTGAGGACAGGCATTAGACACCTGCCCAGGGAAAGAGAAGAATATGGAGGATCTTCTGGGTTATTGGGACTTCTATCCATGAGGGGCTGAACCCCAGGTGGGAGTTTCAGGAGAGGAAAACCCAGGGCATTCTCTGGGTACCAGCACATTCTCTCTTCTCTAGGACCACACGATTTGCCTCATTCCCTGACTACCTGGTCATCCAGATCAAGAAGTTCACCTTCGGCTTAGACTGGGTGCCCAAGAAACTGGGTATGGCTGCTGGAATGAGGGAGGTTATGCAGAAAATGCTAGAAAAAGAAGGGGCTTTAACACATACAAACTAGTGTTTCTGTTTCCTCTGAAAGGGGAAAAAAAAATCACCCCCAATGTTTCAAAATGTATCTAGTTTGAAAGCACTAACTAAAAATATTAAAAGACTTCTTTGATTGTTATAGGTATGATTTACAACCAAAAGTGATTTTTGTAGTTTTTTTTTAATAATTGGTAAGATGTTTTCATTTTGCTAATCTTGAAACAATTAATTCTCGTGAGTCTTACAGGTCCCTGACTGTCATTTGAGAACTCGTGATGTACCTTCATTTTCTAGATAAGGAAGTTGAGACTCACAGGAGTATAAAATCATTCTGTCTCACAAGTTCTAGGCCCCCTGCCCTGTTCATAGCTTATGTGTGGCAGATCTGGGAGCAGCATCCTGGCCTCCTGACTCCCAGGCTTAGTATTATTTGTCTTATACTGGGACCCCTAAGATGGGTGCCGTGCTTTTAGCAGCTCCTCTTGACAGAGCAGTTCTGACATAGGGGGGCAGGGGATTGAGGTTCCCGAATCACTTTCCAGGTAGGCCTCCGGGAGCTGCTGAGGTGACCCTTTTCCCACAGATGTGTCCATCGAGATGCCAGAGGAGCTTGACATCTCCCAGTTGAGGGGCACAGGGCTGCAGCCTGGAGAGGAGGAGCTGCCAGACATTGCCCCACCCCTGGTCACTCCGGATGAGCCCAAAGGTAGCCTTGGTTTCTATGGCAACGAAGACGAAGACTCCTTCTGCTCCCCTCACTTCTCCTCTCCGACATGTTAGTGACTCTTCTTCCTGCCTGTCTGTCTCCCGTGCTGATGGGGGCCTCTCTGCCTTGCATCCCCTGCCCCTGTCCTTTGTGTTTCTCCTGTCCTCCCTTTCAAATTTCCTCTGCCCTCTTTGATTGACATGGGGCCTCACCAGAGCACTCCCAGCCACCTTCTGGGTGTGGATGGCAACAGTACCAGCTAATGACCTCTCTGCCCTTGCTACCTCCCTGGTTTGGGTAGGGTGGGGGTATCATGCTCCAGAAACACAGCCCATTCTGTGAGAATGGGCAGGGACCCACATTACAGTTGTGTGGTCATTTTAGTTTTGGGATAAAGGTGCCAATCCATGGGAGAAAAATGCATGGAATGGGTGATTGGAAGAGGGCTGGGTCCTGGCCTGTGGGAGGGAGGAGGAGCAAACAGTGGCCCCGTCAGTCGGTCCCTGCACCCACAATTCCCATTGCAGCACCCATGCTGGATGAATCCGTCATCATCCAGTTGGTGGAGATGGGCTTCCCTATGGACGCCTGCCGCAAAGCTGTCTACTACACGGGCAACAGCGGGGCCGAGGCCGCCATGAACTGGGTCATGTCACACATGGATGATCCAGGTAGCCTGGGGTGGGGAGCAGGGTGGGGCAGGGCCTCCATCCTCCCCCAAACAAATCAACCCCTTCACATCCACAGATTTTGCGAACCCCCTCATCCTGCCTGGGTCTAGCGGGCCAGGCTCCACAAGTGCAGCAGCCGACCCCCCTCCCGAGGACTGTGTGACCACCATTGTCTCCATGGGCTTCTCCCGGGACCAGGCCCTGAAAGCGCTGCGGGCCACGGTATGGGCTGCCCCAGCTAAGGACATGGGGCCAGTGGGGAAGAAGTGGGGGGCAGTGAGGGGCCATCCTTCTTGAGCAAGACCAAAGACAACAGGTGTGGTCTGGCCAAGGCTGGGCACCACTCTTTTGTGACTTCGATGAAGGAGCTGAGGCCTGCATTTACTGCTGGCTTTTTTGCCCCAGAACTTGTTAGAAAAAGTAATGCTTCTCTCTGGCCGGGCGCGGTGGCTCACGCCTGTAATCCCAGCACTTTGGGAGGCCGAGGCAGGCGGATCACGAGGTCAGGAGATCAAGACCATCCTGGCTAACACGGTGAAACCCCATCTCTACTAAAAAATACAGAAAATTGGCCGGACACGATGGCTCACGCCTGTAATCCCAGCACTTTGGGAGGCCGAGGCAGGTGGATCACCTGAGGTTGGGAGTTCGGGACCAGCCTGACCAACATGGAGAAACTCCATCTCTACTAAAAACACAAAATTAGCTGGGCATGGTGGCGCATGCCTGTAATCCCAGCTACTTGGGAATGCTGAGGCAGGCGAATCACTTGAACCTGGGAAGTGTAGGTTGTGGTGAGCCAAGATCGCGCCATTGTACTCCAGCCTGGGCAACGAGCGAAACTCCATCTTAAAAAAAAAAACAAAAAATTAGCCGGGCGTAGTGGCGGGCACCTGTAGTCCAGCTAATTGGGAGGCTGAGGCAGGAGAATGGCGTGAACCTGGGAGGCAGAGCTTGCAGTGAGCCGAGCCGAGATTGCCCCACTGCACTCCAGTCTGGGCGACAGAGCGAGACTGTCTCAAGAAAAAAAGTAATGCTTCCTTCCTCTCCAAGAACAATAGTTTAGAACGGGCTGTGGACTGGATCTTCAGTCACATTGATGACCTGGATGCTGAAGCTGCCATGGACATCTCAGAGGGCCGCTCAGCTGCCGACTCCATCTCTGAGTCTGTGCCAGTGGGACCTAAAGTCCGGGATGGTCCTGGAAGTGAGTGTCCCCGGGAAGCAGGACAGGCCTGGTGGAATCTGGTCAGTCTGCTACACCAGATCCCTCATTCAGGCAGCTCTGCCCTCCTCAGGGGTCAGGGGCTTCTCTCCACCTCAACGTGGCATCTGAGGGTGGGGTTCTCTGACATGGAGACAGGCTCTGGCCCAGTACATGCCTCACATTCCCTGAAACTTCTGTCCTGAGTCTGAGCTGTTGTCTGTATCTTTGGACTGTCACTCAAGCATTCCTCTTCTGTTTCCTTCTCTGACCCCCTCTCTCCTTCTCTAGAGTATCAGCTCTTTGCCTTCATTAGTCACATGGGCACCTCGACCATGTGTGGTCACTACGTCTGCCACATCAAGAAGGAAGGCAGGTGAGTGCTGGCCATGTGCTTTTTGAATGGAGAATGGTGGTGGGAATGAGGAGGGCCATCTGGAAGTCCTTGGGATAACTATGGGAGAAGGTGAAGGGACTGCCTGGTGGGGACATAAAGTGCCAGAGAGTGACAGAAGGTCTTGCAGCACTGATTGGCCCAAGGGCTGGATCTGGCCACCAGCTTTTTTTAAAAATAGAGATGGGATCTCACTATGTTGCCCAGGCTAGTCTTGAACTCCTGAGCTCAAGTGATTCTTCTGCCTCGGCCTCCCAAAGTGCTAGGATTACAGGCATGAGCCACCACGCCTGGCCAGGCGCCCTGCCTTTGTAAAGTTTCACTGGAACCGGAACACACTTGTTTATGTGGTGTTTGTGCCTGTTTTCACGCTGCGGCAGGAAGGTTGAGTCGTGTCAGAGACCAGAGAGAGGGCCTGCAGAACCTCAAATACTATCTGGCCCTTTTCAGAAAAAGTTTACCAACCCCCGCCTCCCTGGAATGGGTTGGGGGTGGTTGCAGAGGTACTGGAGGATCTGAAGACATAATAGGGGCCGCGACCCTTTAGGTTGTGAAGCTCCCTTACGGCAGGTGGTGGCTGGGCTGTGGATTTGGGGTACGGGCAGAGAATGTGGAGAGCACTTCCAGGGGCCATGGCTGAGAGACTACATGATGACACTTGGAATGCCCAGTTTGTTCATCGTTTTCTGTTTTCCCCACTTCCCCAGATGGGTGATCTACAATGACCAGAAAGTGTGTGCCTCTGAGAAGCCGCCCAAGGACCTGGGCTACATCTACTTCTACCAGAGAGTGGCCAGCTAAGAGCCTGCCTCACCCCTTACCAATGGGGGCAGGGGAAGACCACCTGGCATGAGGGAGAGGGGCTGAGGGATGGACTTTAGCCCCTCTGCTCTGTACCCTTTTTCCTTTTGTCCCCGGCAGCAGGGAAGAAGCTGGAGGCTGTGGGAGAATGGCCGGGCAGAGCAGAGGGGCAGCGATAGACTCTGGGGATGGAGCAGGATGGGGACGGGAGGGGCCGGCCACCTGTCTGTAAGGAGACTTTGTTGCTTCCCCTGCCCCGGAATCCACAGTGCTCTGCTTCTCTGTTGCCCTGCCCAGCCCCCTGGTGTGGAGGGAGGGGTCTGGTTTGTGCGCGCGTGGGTGTAGCTTTGTGTGTCCTCTCCCCAGGCGAGTGAGCACCTGTGCCTCCCCTCCCCCTTTGTTTGCCCCTGTGTGGTTGGTCAAGGAGGGATGTGAGGGAAATAGGGACCCCCCCCCTTGCCCTCCTGCCTCAGTCTTTCCCCCACCCTGTCTCTTCCTTGTCCTTCTCTGGAAAATGCCAAAACACGATGTGAATAAAAGTACAACTGCTAAATTGTGTCCTGTTTGATACCTTGGGAGAGGCTTACCTTCCCGGGGTTAGCAGGAGGACGTTTCAGAAAACTCCTAACTCTGGCCCCCTCCCCCCCAAAGGCAAGTCTCCACTTTTCACTCGTTCTAGAGCTCTAGGAAAATTGGGGTTGGGTGGGGAGGTGTAGAGTGACAAAGTGCCGACACAAAGCCAAGAAAAGACGGAGTGAAGAGCCCTTCTCTAGTCACACAGGAGTCCGAGTATTTCCCAGATATCCCTAGTGGCTAGCTGGCTTCAGTCTGGGACTCAGTCCCTACAGTTCCTGCCAGGCCTTGCCAGCCGGGGCGAGGGTTGGGACACTCCTGGTGGCCTACGCTTCTCTGGGCTGCCCCTCCCGCTGTGAACCCTGTATTTGTCCCGCAAGTTTTGACTCAGGTAGACTCCCTGGGTACAAGGTTGCCTGCTCAGTAGTCGGGCACGAGCTGCTCCGATGGGGGAAGGAGGTTGTCTATCCCATAGTTGGAGAGGGGCCCTCTCTGCCACAGTAGGCGATTTGGGCTACGGCCAAGTTGCCAACAGCTAGCTCTGCTGAACCACTTCTGGCCCCGTGGGGTCAGCGGGGGTTCCCCTGAGCGCCGGAGCTCACAGGTCTCGCCTTGTCCCGAAAGCCCCGCAATCGAGGCGGAGGCGACCGAGCCCCCGACGCGCCTAGAACGTTGCCACAAGAAGGGGGAACGTCGGAACAGTGCAACACGGGGCGGCGGCCGAGGCGGCTGCAGGAGGGCGGGCGGGGGGCAGGGCTCCGGGGGACCGGGCGGGCCATGGCGGAGGACGGCGAGGAGGCGGAGTTCCACTTCGCGGCGCTCTATATAAGCGGGCAGTGGCCGCGGCTGCGCGCAGACACTGACCTTCAGCGTCTCGGCTCCATCGCCATGGCGCCTTCCAGGAAGTTCTTCGTTGGGGGGAACTGGAAGATGAACGGGCGGAAGCAGAATCTGGGGGAGCTCATCGGCACTCTGAACGCGGCCAAGGTGCCGGCAGACACCGGTAAGCCCTCGCCGAGGAGGGGCCGGGCCGGGGCGGGAGTGGCAGCGTCCTCTCCCGAGGCCTCGAGGCCGGTGTGCGCACGGACCTGATGATGCAGGGCTGTGGGACGAGGGCCGCTGGGGTCCGGGCAGGGGCCTCGCAGCTGCAGCCCCGTCGGTGCGTCGAGGGGGCAGGGCGGAGCACATGATGCCCCTTCGACCGTGGGGCAGGTAAGGACGTTTTGGGTCTTCTGGAGGAAGGTGGCCCCGGGGCGCGCACTGGGGCTGTGTCCGCCAGGCGACAGGTTAGGAGCGGAACCCGAGGCTCTGCAGGAGACCAGGGGAGGCTGACCGCAGACCCCGGGGTGGGGGAGGAGGCTGGGCCGCGTGGGCTTCCCGCTACCTGCCCCTTGGCCTCCCGCGCCGTGCGCCGCAGCACGTAGCCCCAGACTCCTCCCCTTCCTTGCTAGCGGCCGGGTCCCCGCGCCAAGCTGCTCGGGGTCCCTGAGCCTCCAGATCTGACCCCTTCCCTTGGGCAACCTGTGCGACTCCCGCCTTCCACTGAAGGGACCGAGCCGGTGCCAAATAGCCTGAACGATTTGGGAGTGAGGAGCCATCCTACCGCCTTCCCCAACCTGGAAACGGCAAAGCGCAAGGCCTCTGAGTCAGTTAGCTCTACCACCCACGGGCAAAGGATGCTCTCCTCCATCCTCCTTCCTCCCTCCACCGAAATCGGAGAGTCACGGGCCTGATCCAAAGAGGCATCCCCTTCTCGTTCATTCCCCAGAGGCCCCAATACAAACCCCAGGAGTTGGCCCCTCTCCTTTTGCTACAGATCCTTGCCTTGCAAAGGGGAGATGAGGATGGGCTATTTTAGAAAGGAAGCAGAGTTGGCCCCTACAGAATGCTGAGTCTGTGAGGTGCCTATGCCCAGAATAGCTCGAGGAAATTGGAGCCACAGCTGTTAAAAGAGCAGAGGGCAAGGCGAGGGCCGTGGCCTCTCAGGGGTATCTGGAAGGCCCTTCGAGTTGAGTGCAGACCCAGCCTCGGCTGGAAAGTGGACAGAGGTCATCTTGCTGGGGTGAAAAGGGGAGGAGAGCAGAACCAAGAAGAAGAGGGTGAGGGCTTTGGGGCTCCAGGGCTCCGGTTAGGAATTGTGGAGAATGAAGGCTTTCTTTAGTCTCATCCCCCTGTGGTACCATCTTGCCCTCAGAAGTGGTTTGTGCTCCCCCCACTGCCTATATCGACTTCGCCCGGCAGAAGCTAGATCCCAAGATTGCTGTGGCTGCACAGAACTGCTACAAAGTGACTAATGGGGCCTTTACTGGGGAGATCAGGTGAGATCGAGGTGGAGAGGGGTGTGTGGGACCCTTCCCTCACACTTCCCCTGTGGCTTTGAGGGGGAAGCCACAGGATGGGCTCCCTGCTGAACCTTGGCTTCATCTCTTCCTTTAGCCCTGGCATGATCAAAGACTGCGGAGCCACGTGGGTGGTCCTGGGGCACTCAGAGAGAAGACATGTCTTTGGGGAGTCAGATGAGGTTAGTAGCCAAGAGAGAAGATAAGGGATGTCTTTTTCCAAGAAGGATGTCTCACCAAGTCTGTTTCTCAACAGCTGATTGGGCAGAAAGTGGCCCATGCTCTGGCTGAGGGACTCGGAGTAATCGCCTGTATTGGGGAGAAGCTAGATGAAAGGGAAGCTGGCATCACTGAGAAGGTTGTTTTCGAGCAGACAAAGGTCATCGCAGGTATCTCTGGAAAAAGGGACCTTTGAGCCTATCCAGGGCCACAGAGACTCAGAGGGTAGGGTCAGGCCCTGGAGCCTGTCTCGGTCCCCATGCTGATCCAGAAAAGGAAAAGGGGGAGGGGGAGTGAGAATCCTTGCTTGGGGCCTATCACTTCTCCAGCCCCCAAGGTAGATGCCACCTGGAAATCCCCCAGTGTCCACCAGGGGGCAGTAGGCCACCGTCCTTCATACTCCTGGAGACCCTTGCTGGAGAGTTCTTTCTTGTTCACCCTTCCCTCCATCTGTGATCTGTGCCCTGCAGATAATGTGAAAGACTGGAGCAAGGTTGTCCTGGCCTATGAGCCTGTGTGGGCCATTGGTACTGGCAAGACTGCAACGCCCCAACAGGTAACCGAGCCCAGGAGCCCTGCCCTCATCCCAGCCTGCCTCAGTAGGTTTGGACAGACACAGACCATCTTGGGCAACCCCTTATTTCAAAGAGACGGAGACCTTGGGCCCAGAGACAGTGACTTGTCCAAGGGCATCCAGTCCAGGGCCTGGCATGGATCGGAGCCCTGGTACTCTGACTCAGCCAGAAACCACACTAAGTGTCCACTGGTGCCAGTGATTCTTCCTCTTAGACAGAAACGGTCTTCCTTAGTCCAGCTTCTTGTTCTAGGCCCAGGAAGTACATGAGAAGCTCCGAGGATGGCTTAAGTCCAACGTCTCTGAAGCAGTGGCTCAGAGCACCCGTATCATTTATGGAGGTGAGTGGCTTTGGTTCCCGGCTGAGTGGGAGTGGGCTGAGGACTAGACTGAGCCCTCGGACATGGAGGTGGGGATGGGGTATACTCATCTCGTTCTTGACCAAGCCCTTGTTCTGCTCCCTTCCCAGGCTCTGTGACTGGGGCAACCTGCAAGGAGCTGGCCAGCCAGCCTGACGTGGATGGCTTCCTTGTGGGTGGTGCTTCCCTCAAGCCCGAATTCGTGGACATCATCAATGCCAAACAATGAGCCCCATCCACCTTCCCTACCCTTCCTGCCAAGCCAGGGACTAAGCAGCCCAGAAGCCCAGTCACTGCCCCTCCCCCGCACATGCTTCTGATGGTGTCGCCTGCTCCTTCCTGTGGCCTCATCCAAATTGTACCTTCCTTTACTATCTTCAGCCTGTAATGGTTGGGACCAGCCCAATCCCTTCTCCACTTACTATAATGGTTGGAACTAAATGTCACCAAGGTGGCTTCTCCTCGGCTGAGAGGTGGAAGGGGTGGGATTTGCTCCTGGGTTCCCTAGGCCCTAGTGAGGGCAGGAGAGAAGCCATCCTCTCCCTTCTTACACAGTGAGGCCGAGATCCTCCCCTCCGAAGGCAGGAGTGCCGCCCTCTCCCATGGTGCCCATGCCTGTGTGCTGTGTACGTGAACCACCCACATGTGAGGGAATAAACACCTGGCACTAGGTCTTGTGGTCTGTCTGCCTTCACTGGACTTGCCCAGATAATCTTCCTTTTTGAGGCAGCTATATAAATGATCCTTTGTGCAAAAAAAAAAAAAAAACAAACCCAAGAACAGGTTTCTATAATAGTACCTCTTACTGTTTTTACTAGAAAAAAACGTTTTGCGTAGCAAACTGTCATAGCCTTGAATGCCGGCTCCCTCTCTTCCTCTGAGTGGCTCTGGGGCTGTTGATTTCCTCAGAGCTTGGGTTGGGGTAGGGGCCCAGCCTCACCAGCTTTCAATAGCTGGTCTAGGCCAGCAGTGCCTCCCCACCTTCCCAAGGGGAGGGGTGGTGGCAAGGCCTCAGCACAGTCTGTGGTATCACAGGGCTCACTGGTAGAGCAGGCAGCGCTTCATGGCAGGGGGAAGGGCAGGGCAGATACCTGGCCGAGCCGGGTATCCCCCAGGGTGTGGCGCACACACAGGTGGCTCAGGTGCAGAAGACAGTGTGGCTCCGCTGGGAGAGAGAAGGAGGGGAATGTGAGTATGGGTGCAGCCACCAGTCAGACGTCCTCAAACTACAGGGTCCTGCCCAGATGCCTTTCTGCTTTCCTGCTTTGAGTGTGCCCACCTTGGCTGAAAGGGGAATCTGAGATGCCCTGAAGTTCTGCCTCCCACTTAAGATTTCACACATCCCTAGTCAGAGCTGGGATGAAGCGCTGGCTAAGGCCCTCTAAGTGACAGGCCAAGGTGGCTCTGACCGTGGTGGAGCTGGCCCAGGCTTTGACTCCAGAGGCTTGGGAGCTGGGGCTGAGGTGAGGAAGGATGGCCGTCCACTCTACAGCTCACACAACTGCAGAGAGCAGCTCCAAGCCCTGGCCCCAGTCAGTTCCTAGGAAGGCTCCTCCCCTGCTGCCCCTCCCTAAGGCCCTGCCTCCTCCACTGCTCTCCTCCCTGGTGCCCAGGGCCCCAGTGTCTCCATGCTGAGGAAGGAAGTGGGTATGTGGCACAGAGACAGGTCAGAGCCCAGAGAATCCGGTACACACCCCGGGTACCTGGCTCTGCCTGTCCTCCTCCTTTTGGACCTGTACATCAAACCCAGTACCTAACCCTTTGCGCCTCTTGCTCAGGGGTTGATATCTCCTGAATTCTCTCATCCCTGGAGTGCCTCCCTCCATTCTGAAGGTTCACCATTTACTGGCCAAGAAAACTTGAGAAAGTTGCTTTCTCAAGCCTGTTTCACCTCTATTGCTGCTGGATTAAATAACAGCCGTAAAGACCCCTAGCCTTTCCCAGCACTGAACAGGCGAGAGGCAGGCTGGATGAAGGTGCATCCCCTCTGCTCTTGTCAGAAGAGTTTCCATCCCAGACCGCTGCCACCAGGGACAGAAAGTTCTCCCCACATCTGCCCCAGGCCTCACCTCTCCTTTCGCCCAGGTAGCGGATGCGGACCTGGCACTGGCCCCAGACAGCGCTTACTGCCGGATAGAGGGTCCTGCCCTTCAGTCCGCGGAAGGCTGTCCCCAGGTAGGTGCTCCCAATAGCGTAGCCCAGAGTTCCCTCCTCCATGTCCAGAAGCAACAGCAGTCTCTCTGGCACCTCCGGCTGCTCACCCTAAGTTCCCGCTGGATACTGGGGCGCTCCGGGCCCCTTGGTCTGATGGTACAGCTTCCCCCGCCCGATGTCCCAGCCCCACGACTCGCTGTTGCTGCCCAGCAGCGCCGCGTAGTGCTTAGTCGGCAGCGGGGCGCGGGCCGTGGCCACGCCCACCACGGCATACGGGCCCCTCTGCTCTAGGGGCCAGCTGATCTCCCAGGCGTGCAGGCCTCTTGAATAGCCCCTCTTACCCCGGACACCATCAGTGCTCTGGGACATGGGCCTCCGCTCAAAGTACAACCCTCCTTCCTTGACTTCGATGTTCTCTGAACAGTCTATGGGGTTCCAACCGTGGCGTCGTTGGGCCCCCCGTTCAGGAGGGTGTGCAGACAGCAGCTCTTCCAAGCCCTCGGGACAGGAGACGTCAGGGTACAGGGCCTGTGGGGTGGGGGTGCTGCTGCTGTCCCCCGCCAGGGCTGTCTCGCCCATGGAGGTGAGGAGCTATAGGGCTCCCCGAAAGAGGCTTGCTGGGGCGTCTCTCTTCTAAAAGTTGAGCTCCAGTTTGAGATTGGCCTGGAAGCGAGTTGGGAGAAAAGGGGTGGAGGAGCAGAATCCTGGCGGGGGGTCGTCACCCAGGCACCCCATCCTTTCACCCAAGTTTGCCAACTGGCCCGCTCCTCCCCCCTCGCTGCCCGAAAGCTCCCGGACCCCTCATCTGCCCTCGCCCCATCTGACCCAGGTCGCCCGAGACTCTCGCGAGTTCGCCCCCTTTGGGCCTCAGCAGGGACCATCCGCCTTACTCGCCCCGAGCCCTAGCCGCTGCCCCCGAACCTCGGTTGGCTTCCCAGCCCAGGAAGTCGCCGGGCCTCTGGAAGAGCCGGGCGGAAAGAAGCCGAGGCGCGCAGGGCGCACACCGCGTGCCGCTTCCGCCCCCAGCACCTCCCTCGGGCGGTGCTCACCCCGCGGCCCCGCCCCGCCAGGGCCCTCCGGGGCGTTAACCCTCTCATCGCCGCCCCGGGTTGTGCAGCCCGAGGCCGCGCCCCTGTATGGCCTCGCCCCTTCGGGGGCAGTTACCTGTCTACCCGCCGCAGCCGCGGGGAGCATGCCCCGCCCCCTGGACCCCACCCCGGGCGGTTAACCTCGGGTCTCCGCACCGGGCTGTGACCCTCCCCGAAGCCCCGCCCCCACGGCGAAGGCCCGGGGCGATTAACCCTTCTCTCCCTGCGGCAGAGTCCGCACCCGGTCAGGCCCAGCTCAGAATTAACGCTTTGATGGCATCACCGCCTTGGGAATCCCTGGGGATGGTGTTCACCGTCAAGACCTTTGAACCGCCTGAGCAACTAACTCCTGCGACCTTGAGGATAAGGAGCATGGGGTGAAGGAGGGGCTTCATTGTGCTGACTCCCATTTCTATTTCCCTGTGATTCTGGGTCACTGTTTCTGGGTTGGTCCCTTTCTGCCCCGGGTTTTGAGTCAGCCTGTGCCACCTCTGAGGCTGTGAAATCTGCTTCAGGCTCTGGGCTGTACGCATCATAGTTTTCCCTGCTGGTCCAGTCTTCATACTGGATGCCAATCCATTACTGAGCCGTTGATCTCATTTGGTAGAGTGTCCTGGCTGAGACTTGGAGTTTGAGTGAAGCTATGCCACTAGTTAACTGTGTGATCTCGGGGAAGTTGCCAGATTTCTCCTTTTTTTTTTTTTTTTTTTTTTGAGACAGGGTCTTGCTGTCACCCAGGCTGGAGTGCAGTGGCGCCATCACAGCCCACTGCAGCCTTGACCTCCTGGGCTCAAGTGATCCTCCTACCCCAGCCTCCCAAGTAGTTGGGACTACAAGCATGTGCTCCCATGCCCAGCTAATTTTTTAAAAATTATTTTTATTTTTATTTTTTTGAGATGGAGTCTTGCTCTTATTGCCCAGGCTGGAGGGCAGTGGCACGATCTCGGCTCACTGCAACCTCCGTCTCCCAAGTTCAAGCGATTCTCCTGCCTCAGCCTCCTGAGTATCTGGGATTACAGGCACCCACCACTATGCCTGGCTATTTTTTGTATTTTTAGTAGAGACAGGGTTTTGCCATGTTGGCCAGGCTGGTCTCGAACTCCTGACTTTGTGATCTGCCTGCCTCGGCCTCCCAAAGTGCTGAGATTAAAGGGGTGAGCCACCACTTCCAGCCAAAAAAAAATTTTTTTAGAGACAGGGTCTCTCAAAGTGCTGGGATTTCAGGCATGAGCCACTATGCCCAGCCCCAGATTTCTATAGTTTTCTGTTATGTAAAATGGGAGCAATGATGGTAGTTACCTCACAGGGTTGTTATGCAGTTGAAATAATTCAGGTAAAACATGTAGCACAGAGCTGGGTACATGGTATGCACTCAACAAGCGTAGATGTCAATATGCTTACAGAGTGTGGACACTAATAAGGAGGCAATATAATATAATGGCAAACATGGTAACTGTGGAACCAGACTCCCCATTCATGAATACCTGAAGGCCACTGTGTGTATGATCTTGGACAAATTACTGAATCTCCCTGTGCCTGTTTCTTCCTCTGTAAGACAGAGATCACATTAGTATCTATTGCATGGGGTTGGTAGTGAGGATCCAATGAGGTTATAGATGTAACACATTTGGAACAGTTTCTGGTTCGCATTTAATGATTTGTGCTAAGCACTGGAGATTAAGCAGTGAATCCTTAAGGAGGTTACAAAGACTTTTATAAAACAATGTATCATGTATTAATAGTAAATAAAATTATGGAGATATAAAGAAAGTACTATAGAAGTAAAAAGAATAGGACTTCTATCTGGGGTTCAAGCAGTTAGGAAAGGAACATGTTCTAGAAGAGGATCACACCTGGGCTGAATCTTTTCATGTCCTAGAAGGGGTTCACACCTTCACACAGGGCTGAATCTTTTTTTTTTTTTTTTTTTTTTTTTTTGAGATGGAGTCTTGCTCTGATGCCCAGGCTGGAGTTCAGTGGCATGATCTCGGCTCACCTCCGCCTCCTGGGTTCAAGTGATTCTCCTGCCTCAGCCTCCCAAGTAGCTGGGACTACAGGTGCATGCCACCATGCCCGGCTAATTTTTGTATTTTTAGTAGAGATGGGGTTTCACTATGTTGGCCAGGCTGGTCTCGAACTCCTGACCTCGTGATCTGCCCGCCTCGGCCTCCCAAAGTGCTGGGATTACAGGCGTGAGCCACCGCGCCTGGCCTGGGCTGAATCTAAAAGGATGACTAGGCATTGGCCTGAGACCAGCCACTTCTCTGCAGTATGGAGGTTGGGTTAGGGTTGCAGCATGTAGAAGACATTCCAGACAGAGGAGTCCGCATGAAAAAAGCAAGAATCAGCAGGTGGGTTTGGGGAAGTATCTTCAAGGTTTCTACAGCCAGGAAGGAAGCAAGAGAAGGGCCAGAGAAGTAGACAGCAAGTCACAGAGGCCTTCTAGGCTGAATTAAGGAATGTAAATGTTTTCTCATAGGACAGGCCAGTGATGGGGAGCCACCGTAGGATAGAAGCAGGAGAGGAACGTGGTCAGATAGGCATTTGATTTATTTATATATTTTGAGCCAGGGTCTCACTTTGTCACCCAGGCTGGAGTGGAGTAGCATGATCACAACTCATGGCAGCCACAACCTCCTGAGCGCCGGTGATCCTCCCACTTCAGCCTCCTGCGTAGCTGGGACGACAGGTGCATAAATACCATGCCGAGCTAATTTATTTTTATTTTTTAAATTTATAAATTATTGGCCGGGCGTGGTGGCTCAAACCTGTAATCCCAGCACTTTGGGAGGCCGAGGTGGGTGGATCACGAGGTCAGGAGATCGAGACCATCCTGGCTAACATGGTGAAACCCCATCTCTACTAAAAATACAAAAAATTAGCCGGGCATGGTGGCGGGCGCCTGTAGTCCCAGCTACACAGTAGGCTGAGGCAGGAGAGTGGCGAGAACCCGGGGGGCGGAGCTTGCAGTGAACCGAGATCGCGCCACTGCACTCCAGCCTGGGCAACAGAGCAAGACTCCGTCTAAAAAAAAAAAAAAATTATAAATTATTATTTTTTAATTTTTAAAATAGAGACAGAGTCTCATTGTGTTGCCCAGGCTGGTCTCGAACTCCTGGGTCAAGTGATCCTCCTGCCTCAGCGTCCCAAAGTACTGGGATTACAGGCGTGAGCCACTGTGCCTGGCCAGATCTGCATTTTAGAAAAACCACCCTGGCAGCAATGTAGAGGAGGCTTCAAAGGAAACAGGACTGGAAGCTGGCCGGGCACGGTGGCTCACACCTGTAATCCCAGCATTTTGGGAGGCCAAGACGGGCGAATCACCTGAGTTCAAGACCAGCCTGGCCAACATGGAGAAACCCGATCTCTACTAAAAATACAAAATTAGCCAGACGTGGTGGAACATGCCTGTAATCCCAGCTACTCAGGAGGCTGAGGCAGGAGAATTGCTTGAACCTGGGAGGCGTAGGTTGCAGTGAGCTGAGATCGTGCCATTGCACTCCAGCCTGGGCAACAAGAGTGAAACTCTATCTAAAAAATTAAAAAAAAAAAAAAGAAAAAAATAGGACGGGAAGCAAAGACACCACTTCCAGCAGACCAGGTGACAAGTGTCAAGAGCCTGAAATAGGACAGTAGAAATAAGGATGAAAATAATTCAAGAAACACTGATAAAATGGCAAGATTTGGTGACTGATTAGATGTGAAGTTGAGACTGGACATAGTGGCTCACACCTGTAATCCCAGCACTTTGGGAGGCCAGGGCAGGCAGATCATCTGAGGTTGGGAGTTCAAGACCAGCCTGGCCAACATGGTGAAACCTTGTCTCTACTAAAAATACAAAAATTAAGGCCGGGCGCGGTGGCTCACGCCTGTAATCCCAGCACTTTGGGAGGCCGAGACGGGCGGATCACGAGGTCAGGAGATCGAGACCATCCTGGCTAACACGGTGAAACCCCGTCTCTACTAAAAAGAAGTACAAAAAAACTAGCCGGGCGAGGTGGGGGCGCCTGTAGTCCAGCTACTCGGGAGGCTGAGGCGGGAGAACAGCGTAAACCGGGGAGGTGGAGCTTGCAGTGAGCCAAGATCCGGCCACTGCACTCCAGCCTGGGCGACAGAGCGAGACTCCGTCTCAAAAAAAAAAAAAATAAAATAAATAAATAAATAAATAAATAAAAAAATAAAAATACAAAAATTAGCTGTGTGTGGTGGTGGGCACCTGTAATCCCAGCTACTTTGGAGGGTGAAGCAGGAGAATTGCTTGAACCAGGGAGGTGGAGGCTGCAGTGAGCCGAGATGGCACTACTGCACTTCAACTGGGGCAACAGAGCGAGACTCCACCTCAAAAAAAAAAGAGAGAGAGAAAGAAAGGGAAGTTTCTAGCCTGGAAAAATTGATTGGAAGGTGTTGCCACCAATCCAGATGAAGATGACAGAAAGAGGAGTAATTGAGGGCAGGGGCAGGAGGGTGAGAGAGGGAGATGGTGAGTTCAGTTTAGGATATGTTTTTGAGATGTCTGAGCCATACGCAAATGAAACCATCCAGAACACACAAAAAAATGGCAGGTCTGGAGGCAGAATGAGAGGCCTGGGCTGGAGACAGGGATTTGGGAGGTGTGTCAGCCTTTAGTCAGGAGTTGAACTATGAGAATGAGTGAGTGAAATATGGGCGAGGGGACAAAGAAAGAGAGTGCAGAGTAAAAGAAGGGTCAAGGAGAACAGAATAAGGTAGAAAATTCAGTTTTGATTACTTACAAGATTGTTTTGGTCAGAGGTCACTGGCAACCTTGGTGAGAGACAGCACATGTGGGGACTGGGAGGTGGGACTCCAGGCTGAAGGGGCTGGACTGTCACAAGCTTTACATTTTAAAGGAATAGAAAATGAGGAGAAGTAAATTACAATTATATCACATAGTTAAAGTTACCCTTGAAAATACCTTAGTAGGCTGAGTACAGTGGCTCATTCCTGTAATCCCACCA